AAATGTACTTTGCACTCTTTTAGTTATTTCATTGTTTTCAAGTTTCCAAAATAAAGTTTCTCCAAAGCAGTGTTATTACATTGCAACTAGCATCATAGAAAATGTTTTTACTCTTACTGACACTGTAGATAATGACAACCAAGCTTCAGATACCTCGGTGGAATTTTCTGCAAAACTCACCTCATTTTATAGAAGCTTTATGAGTTAAAATAATGTCAAAGAGGGAACAAGCCTTTGATGTGAAATTTGATATTTAATGTTTCTTTTGAAAGGGAAAGTAAATGAAGATACCCTCTTACTGCACCCTGTAATTTGACAGTCTATTGCAATGGTGTGTTGAATTCCTAGGAAACATAAGGTTGAGTTCCCCCAGAGGTTAACTGTCCCTTGGAATTATGTGACTGTGAATTAGAGCTCTGTCAGCTAAGACTGCAAAACCAATTTCCTGTTTTTGTATGGTTCAGAAACTAAGAATGATTTTATTTGATTAATTATACTGATGATGGGATCCAGTGCCTTTGGACTGAGCTACATCCCCAGACTCCTTTCCAAAACTTACTATTTCTTTTAAGACAGGATTCTCCTAAATTCCTAAATTGCCCAGACTGACCTTAGACTTGCTGCCTTCCTGTGGCAGCCTCCCAGAGTACTGGGATTGCAGGCATAGACCGCCAAGCTTGAGTTGGTTTTTATATTTTTAAATGCTTTAATAAAAGGGAAGCATAACGTTTTAGGACTCATAAATGATATAGAATTCATCTTAAGTGTCTATGACAGAGTTTTTATTAAAATACAGGCACTTTTAACATATGTAGTCAGTGACTGCGTGGTACTGTGGCAGTGTTTCATACTTGTGAGAGATTCTATGGCCCTCAAAGCCTGACCTGTTTATTTGGTCCTTAATAGAAAAATTTTTCCAACATCTGCTCTAAATCTTCTCTATCCATTTACTCCATCCATTCATTCTCCTTCCAGAATGTGTACAGCAAATGTCCTGCTGACAATCACGGCCAGCAACTGTTGACGAACATAAATCTCCAAAATTGAGAGTGGTGAAAGAAGAGGGGAAAGGAAGGGGACAAGATTACTCACTAGGAAGAAATGGAAAGGGCCTTTTTTTGCTTCGGCTTTACTTGTGTCCATGTGAGATATGTTAAATTTAATTAATAATTGATTTTTGGGTTGATTTGTGTCCTGTAGCCTCAGCTATGGGTCAGATTTGGTACCACAGGCAGCTGTCCTGTAGGAAGAAGAGGCTACAACTGTGGGTGCTCCCATTGATTAATTGCTCCAGCACCAGGAGGACAATGGGGGAAATTTCATGGAAGCAGGGTCTCTGAGTGGGAGGGGCTCCAAGATATTCTGTAGTCAAATGAGCACCACTCATGCAAATCTGAAAGGCATAAGTCAATGAAGTTTTACATATGAATGAGGTGTCATGGGCAAACATGGTATTGAATGTTTAAATTCTTTAAAAAAAAAGAGACCCAGTTCTAGCCCAGGCCCAGTGAGTGTGTGGGAGATCTTCCGGCTATCCTGCGCCTGTGGGACCTACTGGTCCCAGCCCAGGTGCGGCGTGGGTGAGACCCTCTTCCACCCCCTTGGGACGCCCACCACTCCGCAGCACCTCCCCTATCCCACCCGCTGAGTAGGAATTTCTGCCATATTCTGGGACTCCCAAACCCAGTCCTAGCCCAGGCCTGGTGAGTGTGTGGGAGAGCTTCCAGCTACCCTGTGCCAGTGGGACCTGCTTGTCCCAGCCAAGGTGCAGTATGAGTAGCCCCCCAAAGCCTGCCTCCAGAGTAGGAATTTCTGTTGCATTCTTGGAACCCCCACATCCAGTCCTAGTCTAGGCCTAATGAGTGTGTGGGAGAGGTGCCTCTCCCTCCTATTCCACCTTGTCCCCTCCAGATTCAGCTCAGGCCTGGCAAACAGGACTGGGGTGAAAACCTGCAGCTGCAATCCCTGCAGAGAGTGTAGGGGACAGAACCACTCAGCTAGTCCAGGAGCAGAAAATCTTGCCAGAGGGGTAAAACAGATTCACTCCAAAGGGCAGCAGCAGGAAGGAGCTGAGCAC